AATTGGTTGCCTCCTACACGTGCCCTGACCTGGGAGGGAGATCAAGCCTGCAACCAAGGTACGTGTCCTTGGCTGACGCTCTAACCACTGAGCAAACTGGCTAAGGCTCAAGGAGTGTTTTCAAAAGGCTGCCACTGGAGGGCCCTTTTCCCTTTCACTGGCCTGTTGGAGCAGGCTAAAGAGTGAATTCACATGTGCCATGTGCCCCCCAGGCCCCTCTCCACCACCCTCTTCCCTGGGAAGCTGATCCTGTCCACAGTCACGTCTCTCCTTCCCTGTACAAGGTTGGCTACCGTTGGGGAGCCTTGCAGAAAATCAGAGCAAGACAGGAGAGTGAGATTGGGTCCTGGGGTGCTAAGAGCTCTGTGCTCCCTTTGTGGTGTCCTAAACACCATAAGTTGTTCTTTTATCAATTAGCTAAGCTACAATTAGCTTGATCTGGATATGCCATCTGTTCCTGTTGTAATTCTGCTTGGCACAGGCTGTAGAAGGCCCTTTGTGGTGGTGCCTTTCCCTATGAAGCTGCTTGTGCCCACAATCTGATCAGCATGTGCTTATAAGTTCTCTCTAGAGTGGAGGCCATGGGTTTGAGATAAGCTCCCCTCATCTCACTACCTTTTGCCAGTGATATCCCCCCTCCTCCTTCCCCCATCCTGTTGGTGGGCAGGGATCAGAACCAACTTAACTGACTCCCACAGGTATCCAACTATGTCTTGGGCCATGTTAGGTCTGAGTTGTGGAGCCCAGGCTCCAGAATGAGTTGCCTACCCTCACAGTTTCCCCTCATGCCTACTCAGCTGTCTTCCATCTGTCCCTGCCCATAGCAGGCAGTGACCAGCCCCTGTGTCTTCTCCTGCCCAACCCCTCAGACCTAAGCACAGGAGGAGTCATGCTATTAAGGGACCAGGTGACGCTAAGAACAGCCTCCTTAGTTCCTGCTCAAACTCCTAACAGGAGCCAAGCTAAGCCAAGAGCTTGGAAGGCCCCAGCTCAGAGCCATTTCAGCCAGGTTCACCTGCGTGCTACCTCAAAGCCTGCACAGCTCTGGCAAGGCCACCCTGGGCCAGGCGTGCACTCACTCAGATGGGAGCTGACTGCTGGCTGGCCAGGGTGCTGTAGTGGGTGGGCCCATCTCCTTCTCCTCACAACTCCCCATCTCTGGGCCGCCCATCACTCACAGCTTCCCCAACTTGCTGCCCAAGCAATAGGAACACGGAGTCCCTTCAGATTCAGAGCCTTGAGGGACTCTCCCACTCACTGTCCCTTGGCACTACCCTCTGTCTCCCCCAGGTGGCAAAACAGCAGAAAGAATCCGAGTCCACCCAGAAGGCAGAGAAGGAGGTGACACGCATGGTGGTGGTGATGATCCTGGCATATTGCCTCTGTTGGGGGCCCTACACTTTCTTTGCATGCTTTGCTGCTGCCCACCCTGGCTATGCCTTCCACCCCCTGGTGGCCGCCCTGCCAGCCTACTTTGCCAAAAGCGCCACTATCTACAACCCCATTATCTATGTCTTTATGAACCGGCAGGTAAGTCACACCATCCGCAGAGCAAACTAGAAATAGGCCCTGGAAGAACGCCATGATCGCTCCCACTAGTAATCGTGTCTGGCCTCCAGGACAATGACTTCAGAAGGCTCATCATGTGACCCAATCCTAGGCAGCTCTCCTTCTGGATCTTTTTATGGTCTCTGCCTGAGAGTGGGTATTTCCTGCAGTGCCTGTGTACTGCATGCTCTTCCCATCTGTTGGCCTCAGGGCTAGTCTAGAGCTTGAATACCAGAGGACTGCCTGAACATGGCCAAATTACCCTAGGTATGCACTTCTTGCCGTTATTGGCACAACTTTTCTCTCAACCTTCATCTTTCCCTCTTCAAACCCTAACTCTGACCAAGACATAAAAGAGGCCCTTCTTGGCTGCACTGACCTGTGCCTTTCATGGTTTTATAGGCTGTGGCCCTGCCCAAAGTCTTGCCAGATGGCAGCCAGCATGGGCTGGCATATTGGGCCCCCACAGCAAACTACCCATAACCCCCAGACTTGTTGGTAGATTACAGGTGACCATTGAGGCTCATCATCTTCCAAGAGCAATTTTCATTATTCTTCCTTGAATCCATCATGTCTACTTCATTAAAGTGCATCTGTGATGTGACTTGGTGACCAGAAAGGTCTGTGGGTCAGAAATACTGCCCCCTCAGGGACCTCCTATTTTACCAGATCCAGCCTACTCCAACTGGCTCTTCTCTGTTCCTCCACTTTACGGTTGTTCCATGGCTCCGCCCCCTCCAACCGGGCCCTGACTCTTGGTTGAGTTCCTTAAGCATGCATTCTTTTGATAATGTTTAAATATTCAGTAGGACCAGTAACAACAATTGACTCTCCAGGGTTCCATTCCTGGCACTTCTATACCCAGAGTATAGTTCTATCCCTGATCCCTGTTTCCTGTTTTTCACAAGGGTCTCTTTTTAGGTGTGGCTTTTGTTTGTGGAATCCTTGGCTAGCTTGCCAAGTACTGTCTTTGCTTGAGTATTTCCATTCTCCCCCTCCTAGACAGGTATCTGCACTTCTTAACCTCTCCAGGCTTTCCAACTTTTCTTTCACCCTTTTCACATTGTTACTCCTTCCTATTGCATTCTGAGAGAACTTTCTAGAATGGAACTCCATGAGGACATCCCTGTTGATGCCTTTAGGACACAGTCTGGCACACAATGGGTACTCAGTAAGTAGACATTAAGTAAATGTGTCGAATGAATTCTTCACCCTCATCTGCCAGCTCTTCAGCTGAGTTGATTCTGTTGTTCAGCTCATTTCTTATGTTATCAATTTCAACAATTATGTTTTTTATTTTGGGGATTTTTTATGTTGGAGGGAGCTGGATGTTGTCAAGAATAGGCTTGGAATATATAGGAAACGCATCTGGTCTGTGTTCTCGAAGCATTTTGGTTAGCTCAGTGATGATCCGAGATATAATCTCAGAAACGAATATGGCCCAGATGTCTTTAGGGGTCAATCAGCAAAGAGCAGAGCCCTCCTGGTACCAGAAGACTCTCTTGGCTAGAGAGATAAGGTGGTGGCTAGATAAGGTGTTGTCTACCTAGTCTTCAGCTGGCCTGAAAATTGATGGACTAGAAACAAGATGACAATCATGTTCCCTTTTACTAAAATGCCCCTTACCAAACATTCTAGAGACAGGTCAGCATGAGCCCCTTAGCTGGCATCATCTTTGGTCACTGTATGAGTTCCCTGGAGTGCTATAACAAACAACTACAAACTGGGTAGCTTTAAGCAACAAAAATACATTGTCTCCCAGTTCTGGAGGCCAGAAGTTTGAGATCAAGGTGTGAGCAGCATTAGCTTCTTCTAAAGGCTCTGGAGGAGAATCAGTTCCATATCCCTCTCCTAGCCTCTGGTAGGTACTTGCTGTTCCTTGGTTTGCAGATGAGTCACCCTGATCCCTGCCTTCACCTTCATATGGCCTTCTCTCTGTGCCTGTGTGCTGTGTCCAAATTCCCTTCCACTTACAAGGACACCAGTCATTGGATTAGGGCCCACCCTACTCCAGCATGACCTCATGGTAATGTACATCTTAATCACATCTTCAAAGACTATCTCCAAATAAGGTCACATCACAGAGCTTTTTGGGGAGACACGATGTGACCCACAATTGTCACCATCAGCTGCTAAATTAGATGACTTAGATGACTGGATAGTTAGGAATAGACCATTTCCATGTGCAAGGGACAACCTGAGTCTGCCTCCATTCACTTTGTAGGATTCTGAATTGTAGGAGAGAAGGTGTTAAGTCATCCAGGTGACAATGAATACCTTCCTCCATGCCATAAGTATTCCCTTTAGCATAGCACACTGACCCTTTCTGCTCTGCTGAATAATACTTTCTGTCCTGCCAGTTTCGAAACTGCATCTTGCAGCTTTTGGGGAAGAAAGTGGATGATAGCTCTGAACACTCCAGCACGTCCAAAACAGAGGCCTCATCTGTCTCTTCGGTGTCACCTGCATGAGTCTCTCCCAGCCCCAACAATGAAAAGATCTGCCTCCTACCAGAAAACGTAACCCCTGTCCCACTCACCGGGGCTTTGGTCACCATCCCTTCTTTTCCATCCCTGTGAAGTAAATGTAGTTTCTCTTTGTCAAAAACAACAAAGTCACAGAGGGGGGCACCTGAGCCTCTGAGTGTTCAGTCACTAGGTTGAGAGAGGGTGTGAGGGGTTTACAGAGGAGCACAACGCTGTACTTCAGAGATTTTAATCTTTTCCAAACCTCACGTCTGCAGATGGTATGGAAGGGTTGTGAGAAAGGGAACTGTGAGCTGGGTGGGCACTCACATACCTCTCATGGGGCTGGTGCTGATAAAATCTGAAAGGGAGAGCTGAGAAGTGGCTGTCTGGGGAGGGCTGGCTGGATGCCCTGACACCTGGAAGGGGGAGGAACTAGCAAACCCAGGCCCTTCAAGGCCCATCTGATAGAGGCTTTGAGTCCTTGGAATACAGTCTCCATCTGGAGGGAACCCAGACCTGCCAGTCCATGGCAGGAATGGCATGCCACTTTTGCCAGGCCAGGGCCCCAACCCCAATCAGCATGAGCACAGTGCATGTGCGCAGGTGTGAATTCAACAGCGGAAAGGAGCAGGCGCACACAGTAGAGATGAAGACCACGAAGATGGTGGCCAGTGTGAGGAGCAGGTTCAGAAATTGGAACATGAACTTCTGGGAACAGTTCCTGAGGTTCTCTGTCGTCTTCACTTGAGTCACTTGCTGTAGAGTTTCAAGCTTGGATATACGACTCTTGAAAGTCTCCATGACCTCCTGCAGGTGATAAAAACACATGCCCTCGCCAGAGGTCAGAAGGGAAGTGTGGTCCTTTACCTGAGTTCTTAAGGGTCACACAGCAAGTGTTGGTGAGCTGAAGATTTAGGAGGGAAATCAAGAACCTAGAGCACCAACATGCTGAGGACCCTGTCTTGGGAGAGTCCATATTTCCTAGTAACAGTGAAGGTCTCATCTGACTTCGCCCTCATCCAATGTGGTCTGAGACTGAAAGCCTGGCCTTGAAAGAGCTGACCAAGGACAGGTGTACGGTCTGAGGGTGTAGAAGAGAGTGAGGCTATCTGTTAAAGGAGAGGGAAATAAATCCTTTACCCATGCTTGCCACTCCAGGGTCAAAAGCAGGGTTTCCCAGCTGGTTTTCCCTGCAGCAGCAGCAGCTCCTGAGTACTCATCAGCACCCCCGCAGGTGGTTCTGTGCAGGTTCAAATATGAAAACTGCAGTGCCCAAGCTCCCAGATCAGCTAAGGTGGGGGGAGGGTGGAAGTGTGGCATGAACATAAAGATTGGACACTGCTAGCTCGAAAAGAAATGTGTGAGTTACCATTGAATCCTCAACAGGGGTACAGCTTGAATATCTGTCTCTTTCCTTGGTTTGGAGGTTATCAGAACAGATTTGCTCATCCCTTGCTTCTCTCATCCCTACATCCTTCTCACTGGCCCTTTCTCATAAAGCTCCCCCATGAGGAACTCACCCATATTTCCTTGGCTTTCTCATAGGAAAGATAGGCCATTTTCTCTTCAGCATAGGCCAGATTCTGTTTGAGACAGTAAATTTCATCCAGGTGCCGCTGCAGGTGGTCATTCACCAGTTCTTCCATCAACGCATGTCTTGGGAGCAAAAGAGAAAGTAATACTCTCTGAGTACCCCACCCAGAGCTTGTGCTGGCAGTGAGTGATCCTGCATCAAGACTAGACTTGGGTTCAGGATCTGCCTTCCTCCTCTTGCCCTCAGCTCCAGTCAAACTCAGCCTACTCTTCCAGGTCTGCACCTCAGCCACACCCACACTGACAGTCGTGTATCTCCTATCTATCATTCCCCTTTTGCAACAGCTTTAACAAAATAGAGATATACTAGAAGTTGTGGAAATCAAAATCTAAATTACCTCTGTATGCTATTAAATTCCATATGTATTCCCAGCACCAATGTTTGGCATTCAATAGTTATTCCATAAAAATCTGTGGATTATAAAGATGGAGCAGTCACAAGAGACCACATAGTGTATGATTCCATTTATATGAAATGTCCAGAATAGACCAATCCAGAAAGACAGAAACAGAATAGTGGTTGCTGAGGGCTGGGGGAGGGGAAGGTGAGGAGTGAGTGTTAATGGGGATGGGGTTTCTCTTTGGAATGATGGCAATGTTATGGTCTGCAATGAGATAGTGGTAATGATTGCACAACTTTATGAATATACTAAAAACTACTGAATTGTACACTTTAAATGGATGAGTTTTATGGTATGTGAATTATATCTCAATAAAGCTATTATTAAAACAAATAACAAATATAAGATTGTGGTAATGATTGCACAATTCAGTAAATTTACTGAACATCATTAAAATGTACAGTTAAAACAGTGCATTTTATGGCATGTAAACTATATCTCAGTAGATCTGTTAAAAATATAAACAAAACATCACTAGCTGTGGTTTATGCCTACATATGTAAGTAGTAAAAGAATAAAAACATGCATGGAAAAGATAAGTGCCCAATGAGGATAGCCAAGTGGAAAGAAAGGAAATGCTGCTGGCTAAAGGGGTAATGAAAGAGCTTCAAGTGAATTTTTTAAAGTTTTATTTCTTAAAAAAATAAGATTTGAAGCAAAAATGGTAAATTTGAGGATCTGAGAAAGCTCAGGGGTAGGCACACAGTGTTGATCGTGCTATTCTCTACGTTTCGCCTGGGTTTGGGATGTTTTATAATTTAAAAAATCTTTGAGGTGCCCCATTTGGGCAACAGGAAGGATAGGCCAGAAGGACAGATGTCAGATGGCTTTGAGCACTTTCATTTCGGGAAGAGCTGAGGAAGGCTTGACCCAAGCCAGGGGCAGTGAAACCAGAGAAGAGGAAAGGTACCAGAGAATGCTGGAGACCAGGGCAGTGAGGGGCCCGGCTGATGGCCGTGACTGACGGCCATAACCGATGGTGCTGTAGCACAGACAGGCAATGTGAGGCAAGGAGGTAATTTGGTCCTGCTTCAAGAACTTGACTGAGGAAACAAGATGGTGCGGAGGTAACAGCTGCACCCGCCGCCTCCCGCAACCACGTCAAAATTACAACTAAAACACAGAACCACCATCACTCAGAGCCTCCTGAGATCCGGCTGCACAGAAGCCCCACAACCAGGGAACTGAAGGAGCACCGAGACCGGCAGGAGGGGCGGAGACGCGGGTGGATCGGGGCTGAATCACAGAGACGCGGCCGCGGCCCACACCCGGTGCCACGGTTGAAACCCAGGAGGGAATCTCGGCGGTGGGGGTTTCCCAGAAGAGTGAGGGGGTCCCAGCTCCACAGCAGGCCCCCAGCCCAGGGCTCCAGGGCCGGGATGAGACGTCCCCACAACTCCGGGCTGTGAAACCAGCAGGGACTGTGACTGAGGGTCACGGAATCTGTGGGAGCCCCAGCAGCTCCTCTAAAGGGCCCGGCACGGACTCACTTGGACGCTCCCTCTGAGCCCAGCGCCGGGAGCAGCCTGAAAGGACCCGGCACACTCGGGGAGGAACTAACCTGCCTGAAGTTGGGGTAAGAGCTATAGGGGCAGCTTTCTCCCAGGCAGAAGAGCTGGCAGAGGCCATTGCTCCTTTGACGAGTTCTCCCCACACACAGCCAGCAGGCAGGCGCCATATTTGAATCATCAGGACCTGACTCACACCTTTGGCCCCACCCCATGATTCCCGGAGGCCCCGCCCCTCCCCACCTGCAGGCTCATCCA